AATAAGTTTGTTATATCAGTCAGTTCGTTATAAGCGTGTTCGTTATATACATAGTTTACTTTACTGGAACTGTTAGTAAAAGGACAGTACAATGTGATCTTTTATTTAATTGTTGCTTCATGCAAGCATTGACTTTCATTGATTAAAGAACCTGATACTGTTTGGCTAATAATGTGTGCTGAGCTTCCAGAGCAATTAAATTGTTCATGGCATCGCGTTAGGTGTAAGTGTTGGCTTAGGCGATGTCTCTTAATCTGACTGTTGTACAGTTGTTTACATATTCTAACATATATATTATAGTATCGTGATAATGCACAAGTAAGTGGACATTCGTAAGGAATAATGTGCGAGCCCGCGAAGAAGGCAAGTTTAATTGTTTGTAATGATGTCCAATATATCTGACTTTAAATACAGCATCAAAGTAACAAAAACTGTGTACTGAGATTTGAAATACAGTCTGAAATTAAAATAAATCAATAAATACATGAAAATAAATACAGCACAAATATACTGCTTTGAAATTTCATGCTGTACATTCATAATACATGAGAATGTTTAACTTTGTGCTCCGATATCTGCGCTGTATTTGAACTAGCCTGTATGTTGGTAGTGCATGTGCATTTGTGAGATTTGATCATTGTAGTAGGTCTGGGATGGGTAACTCGGATACCCAGGTCGGGTGGGTACTGAGTAGGACCCAGGTACCCACAGGACTACCCGGACCTGTGGTTAGTCAGGTGATATCGCATTTCTGACTATGCACCCATTCCTTCTGATTTTTCATATGGTTGAATAAAGATATAACTGAATTCAACTTCAGTGTATGAATGACCACATTGTTTAATATGTGTATCTATATATGTTTTGCCAGGGCTATGCTAAAAATGTTCCCAATCAGACATTTTGAGACATCTCCTGAGACCTACAGTAGGTACCCGGGTTTGGACTCTTAAATTTGGACTCTCCCCAGCCCTACATTGTAGCCAGTACCCTCATAATGCCCATGCTCAGAATTAATGCATGAGATAACAATTTGCATTGCAGAAAGAATGTCAGTAAACTGTCAATTTGTTACAGATATTCTAAAGTAGAAACAAAAGTGTTATCATAGCTGTTTTTGTAACAGAAAAAAATACGAATAATGCAGGATTACTAATTATCTGTCTCTATAGTCGTTTCAATTCATGTTGAGAGTCACTCATCATGGCTTGGAGAGGATAAATCAAGTTCTTATTTTTTGTCAGTTGTTATCTAAATGCCATTAATAAAATTTAACTGATTCGGCTTATTATCCGAAAACATGAACCTGCCACTTCCCGCCTTGTATTGAGATGGCATTCCATAACTTGAACAACTTTATAAAGCAAATATTGTGCAAGTGTGTATCTCAAGCAATCAGAGATTCCCTGAAAGAGATGAAATTCTCTCAGTTAACTTACACATACAACCAAGCCAGTCTCTGAAATCTATAGCTGAGCACACTTGCTTATTTATTTACTTAAAGAATTCTTTAAAAACTTCAAGTAAACAGTATCAAATTTTGTTGATAGCCTCAGATGATATGATCTCGAGTAACAGAGCAGAAATTATTTAACAGAATCTGATACAAGTAACTCCCAACATAATGTAAATAGGCAAGTTTATTATCAGGTTTGGGCAAGGCTTTGTCAAATGATCTGTGAGTATGATAACGGGTTTTCTTGTTGAGTTATGTGTGTAGTTTCACCTCTAGTAGATTAGAATTCCAATCAAAGCAATAAGCTGACTGGTAAAGTAGAGCAATGAATTCAAATATATTTGCTCATATTGAAGTTTTCATGCCAAAATATATTTGGTAAATTCAAAATGATAAGGATTAATTGATGAGTTTTTGTTTGTCACAGGAGAGTAAATGGTTTTAATAGTCCAGTGTAGGGTTATTCCATATGGGATTATTACATGGTATGGTATTAGCGTGTTTGTTTCCTTGTTTGATGATAATTGATGGAAGGCCCTGAACTGTTGAAGGATTTTATAGACTACTCAAAAAAGTTGAAGACCACTTGATTCTTTCATATTACTATAGTTAATCTGTCATGATGAGTAACTACATTAATATGAAGGAATTGGATGGTTCTTAATCTTTTTTATGCCATGGCAGACCTACTATAATAGGAAAGAATCAGATTGTCCTTAATCTTTTTTGAGTAGTATATGAAGTTCATCAAGTTTACAAACCAAATAACTCAAGTAACAAAAGACTTGAAAACAATACATTATTCAACAATAATTAAGTAAGCTTAAGTGTATGAGTTGACAGCTATTTCACTATCTGTAGGATCTACTCTCATACCATTTGAGATCTTTGAATTTCCAGTACTTAATTCTGCATAACTGGTCAGTAAGTCTACAGAACTCCTTTCATGTGTATCTGTATTTGTATGGAGCTGTCTTCATGAGCAGCAATTTCTAAATGAGAGTTCACCAATTAACTAATTAAATTCATCGGCAATTTACAATCACATGAAGAACCAAGTGATTTCTTGTTGAACCTGATGGCAAGCATTGTCGACAGTCTGTTTATGATTCTGAAATGCCTGACTGCACAGCTAATTCAATCATCCTGTATATTCTGAATCTGACCAATGTGAAAAAGGCTCCATTCACACTACATGATACATAAATGCTAAGATGGTTCTTAGAGCTCTAATCATTTTTATCCCCCCAGCATATAAAGCAAGCAGATGTAGTCATCATCTGGTCTATCTGTCGGTCCATCCGGCTGTGTGTCCATATTTCGTTTCCAGACATAACTTGGAGCATACATTTCATCCAGATTTGTTGCATACATTAACCAGGGGCTGAAGTAGTGCCTTTTGCTTTGAGGGAGGGGTAGGGGGAGGAGGGGGGATTTGTCATCTTGTGACTCTTGTAACATTTGCAACCAAAACAATATACATTGATTTCTTTGAAAGTTTACCAACTTAAAGACAACGGATCTATCTTTTTTTAAGATTGATCCATGAACATTGTTAAGAAATAAGTAATGACACCCAATTCAAATTTTGAATGCTGTAATATAATTTTCACTATCTCCCTGAAAATAAGATATCATAAAAGAGACATTTCGAGAAAATTCAATATTCTATTCTATGAATTTAACATAAATTGTTATATTTTAATCATATGTATAAAATATCAAAGCAAGATAAGTCTCCATGTTTCTAGAACATTAACTTGGCAAGCTATAAAAGCTTGATAATGAGGATACTAACTTATTCATGCAATGAAAATTTGTTTCTCCGTTTGTGTAATTGTTGAAACATTAATGAAGTCTATCAAACCCCACGTATCATAAACTTCCAAGCCTACTTTTCTATGGCCTGTAGCTGACGTTTGCCTGCCAGATAGGAGCTTTCTGCGATAGTGACTAACGGGTGAACCAATGCTTGAACCGAAGAATCCGTGCAATCAGCCCTCAGCAGGCGTATCTCTTCATCTTTGGACGACCATCATTTATATTCAATGATACACAAACTGACTTGCCTATTTCTTAACCTAACATATCAGATTATGCCGCAATTTTTTTATTTCTTCAAATGCCAACAGATTGTGATGTTTTTGAAAACTGTTTCAGTGCCCATCGCAACAATGCTTCCCTATTTCAGAAACAGTTTATCTAACTGATAAGTGCTGTCTTAAACTTTAAGAGAGTTTTATCAAATATGGAGGCAATTTAATTACCAGATAAATCTCTAGTATAACTCCTTATGTCTTAATCTCTCAGATTGGAGGGGAAATATCAGAGAGACATTTAAATCGAACTGAATGTATGCTTGGAGGGGATGCTATTTGGTGGCGAAGATAGGCATTCTTGAATATTCTGAGTTCGTTGATGATACCATAACATATAATTTCACAACGTATCTCTTGTCTGATAATATAATCAATTTGGTATTTCAACAAAAAAGAATCTAAGTTTATGATTCATGTTTTGAAGATGAAAGTTCTTTTTGCATCAAACGAAAACACTTTATTTCCCATGAACACTGATTACATTTTTAGATACGTAGAAAACGACAGACTTGCTTCTCATAACAAAAAATTGTTTTTTTCATTTGGATATTCCAGGTGTGTACTGAGCAAGTTTCCTGTTCAACCATGCAATGTACTAGATTATGATATGAGGTGTGTTACAAGTGATATGTGTAATCCTATCCTATAACTAATGACTTGTACAAAGCATTGTGTGTGATACATTATGTTAAAAGTTTGGTTTACAGTTCCACCAAAGTAATATTTCCATGAAAACCCATTATGGCCACAAAATTATTTTAGCTGGAATTTTTCAAGATAGCAATTTGAATTTTCAGCTTTGTCTCTTGTATTTCCGAGATATTATCTTGAATGTTCAACTATTTTGAATTTTCAACTAGGTATCTTGAATTTTGGACGATGCCACAATACCAGTCTGTTTCTTACTTTATGGACCAGCCTACACTAAATTTTTCAATACATGAATAAAAATGCTCTTTTAGATTGAAAATGTGATTATTTTAACATTTAATGTGTAAACCTTTAGTTGAAACATTTGTTTCAAGTGTTTTTTGAAGTAAATTAAAATCAAAACAATATTAATTTTGTGTCTGCCCCTTGACATATTAAACAAGGAAATTGGTAAAACCAGATGTTAAATTTGTCTTGACTACCGGTAATCAAGAAAAGATAAAATGTGCCCTAATAGTGAAATAATAAAACTGTAGGGATAGAGCTACCGTATATATATTTACCGTGTAAAGATAACCTTTTTGTATCTCCATACCAGTGATATGGTAAAGGGCAATTATATCAATATATCAAATTTTATGGAAACTTGAACGTGTCTTGTTCATATCCTCCCTAGGGCTGATAATGCTATAAGAAATCAAATTAAGTTTTTCAATGGTTTCTTCTTCTGTTTAAAGTCAATTTTATGTCATGGTTCACTCAAGCCAGATTTTCAAATGAGAATTTTTTGTCAGTTTCAGGAAATGGGGAAACAGCTGGCGAGGGGAGTCCTACAAGTAGTCACCACCAGGGGGAGAATCAAGGGGAAATCACCCAGCTATCTTCACGCTGCATCCAGTCGCCAACACCATCTGACTTAGACCCGAGTGACCGCCATACAGAGACACCTGGTGGGAAGGAAGATCAAAACAATATGTCAGACATGGAAAATGTGCAAGTAAAACAGGAAGTAAATACAGATTCATCAAGTCCGACAATGTTACAGGGCTTAGCAAATCAACTGCAGCTGCCAAAAGATGTTCTGTATTTGAAACGAGTTGAGATAACAATGCACGGAAACACGGCTGTGTGCTGGGTGGTCTGTTGTGCCATTCCACTCCAAGCTGGAAGCAGTTTGGGACCCTTTCAAGGGGAGGTAACCTCAGCCGATAAAGTCAGAGTTGGCGATTTGATACTACAGGTGAACATCATTCTACTAAATTCTATGCCATTTTCTTGCAGATGATTAAACTCATAATTATATCAAGTCTATGCTACAACAATATATGAACTATGAACCCTCTGAGGGGAATTTTGAATCTGAATTAAACGCTATAATATTTTGATGGAAAATCCATTGCTAGATATGTATAGTATTTTCAAAGGGAGGAGTCAATTTTCTAAGCACATCTTGATCATTCAGTCATAAAACTAGCAATTATTGAGCAATATGTGATGAGATATATTTTATTTCTCAGTTTTCTGGGAAAACGGAGCCGATACTTGTGAATGTGACCGCTCAGTCTGGGGCCTGGCTAGCCTTGCTGAGAACTGCCACCAACAACACTGTCAAAAACACTTGTGTACATCTTGAAGGTGAGGAAGCTGTTGTTTATCCCGGTACTGGGTCAAAGACAAAGGCTCAATGATTGGTACAAGTGACGATTCGAGTTAGAATAGGTCTTCAGTTAACCCATGCTTCTTGTAAGAAGCGACTAACAGTATCGGCTGGTCTGACTTGCATGTCTTCCAGCGCCAATTGCATAGATCTTTGCTCATGACGTCAATCACTGGATTGTCTGGTATAGACTTGATTATTTACAGACCACCGTCATTTAGCTGGAATATTGCTGAGTGAATATTGTGTTTTCTAAGATGCTTATCTAAATGATCCAAGGTGTCGAGAGTAGTTTACCCTGCAAATAAAGTGCACTTTTTTAGTTCAAGGCAAAACTACACTACACAGGGGGTAGAGCAAACTTTATTTCTTAAACAACTTTTCTTTTCTTTGTACAGAGTGAAATTTAACATAGCTGTCACTGTTCTTTCCTCAGGCGACCGAATATGGTGTGAGGTTGTCTCTGACTTGGAGGAAGGCTCAGAGCTGATTGGCTCATTCCTGTACCATGTAGAAAATGAATCTCCCCCTCCACATTCGGAGTCCCCAATACCAGCCCCTCCCCTGCCACCAGTACAGGAGGAAGAACCAGTCAAACCAGAACCGCCTCCAGCACCTGTGTCAAAAAGGTCAAGGTCACCGACAAATCATGGTGAGCACAATGTCAAAATTAGCCCTTGCATTTACCACTTAACTCTCAATACGCTCAATGCAAATGTATTTGCTCAAGACAAATACTGTCTATCTTTCAAGTTTTGTTATGATTATGTTTTTGCTCAGCAATATTTGATGCATAGGTGTAGCTTATGGTTGCTGGTGTGGGTGCAGGTGCAAGAGAGTGGGTGAGTCAGAGAGTAAGAGCCAAGTAGTGTTTGTACTTGTTCTTCATGTGTTTGCATCATATTGCTGCAATTTTGCTAAAATCAGTGTGAGACATCCACTAACATCTAGAACTCTGCTAATCTTGAAGGCATCAAGACCATGCATATTAACACGGTCTCATTGTGCTAACATTTGAGTATGCCTGGTTTATTTTTATTTTCAGCTGCCCTTATTTATGGTTGTCCATTCTGCAGTGTGAGATTCAGTAGTCCAAGGACGCTTCAAGGTCATCTAGCATACTACTGTTCAAAGAAGCCCCCAGACTTGGGTGAGAAAACTGCCAGGGAGGGAGAAGGCAGCAGTCAGAACGCTGACGATAATGACACAGACGAGGGTAAGAGATGGACCTGATCCTGACTTCTCCAAACCATTCCTGAAAAATTCCACTGAAAAATTTCCAAGAAATTTGACAGATTGCAGAAATGTGTTCCATTTCAAACAAATTTTTGTGTGTCTTTAAGGGGCATAACTATTAATAAAATAGCAAACTATCTATTGAACACTGAATATGACAAAATACCATCCAATAAAAACAAGACAAATTTTGAGGAATGCCATGGTAAATGAGGTAATTTTGGTTCATGAAAATTTACATGCTTTGGTCGTATCCTTCCTATTATTTTCTTTGATGTGTGGTAGAAAGAAATACAAAGTAAAAGTACTTACGACAAAACCTGCCAGACCTAAGTTTTATCAAAGATCCTATTTATTTCAGACTCTAAACCAGATGCTTCAGTGGCAATGGATGAAGACGAGAAATCAAAACTAAAAAGGCCTTTGGAGAGTGATGGTTCTTCCTATAAACAGGATCAAGATTCTCCACCAGCTAAAGTTTCCAAAATGGGTCAAACGTTCAAATGTCCCCACTGTTCATACACAGCAGACAAACTGTCAAGCCTTAACCGTCACCGCCGCATCCACAACCGACCTTCAGACGACACTGATGATGTTGGGAGTGTCCCGGTACCCCTAAGTGAGACCTACTGCAAAGACTGCAATATACAATTCTCATCTCTAAGCACTTTCAAAGGTCACAAGGAATTCTACTGCAACAAAAGAAATGGATCTGACCGATCGGAAACCCCAAAGAAAGAGTCGTGGGAAGACAAAATCGGAGCTGAAAGCACGTCATCTCATAGTTCTCCTACTTCACAACCATCGGAGCCACACAGGAATATTTTCCTCCCTTCTGGGCCAATCATGACACAGACTGTTATTTCTGCTGTGTCATCTGCTGCTGTAATGCCAGGGCAGACGGCAGTTATATTTGCTGCTCCTGTTATGGCAACCAGTGATATGGGTATCACCATGCCAACAGTGATTGTCCAACCGGTAATTGCTCCTCCTCCTGTGTGTTCTTCATCTGCTGCCTTGAAAGAACCTCCTCTGTCTCCAACAAAAGTACCAACTGAGGCACACCAGAAGTCAAAATCGGCTGCATTGTGTTCAGAAAAACCTCTGGACTTGAGCACAAAGAAAGACGACAGTCCTGAGAAAGAGAAATCTCCAAAGAAGATCTTAAACATGGCAAAAGACTCTCTCAAACTCATCACGAGTCAGGCTATTCTCAAAGAATTTCCCTCACTCATAGAGTGCAAGTCTCCACCTTTAACCTCCCCGAAATCTGTTACCTCCAACCACTCAAGATCACCTCACGAAAGTTCAAGGTCACCCCAGCTAGCTTCAAGATCTAAGTCACCACAGAACACGTCACCAAGTTTGTCATCTCGGTCAAGGTCACCGGAGCATATACGACACAGAACAAGTCCGTACCTACAGGGCCTAGCCCCCCACTTCCTGCCGATGTCTGTGGCAGGCGTGACAGCCCAGGCAGTTGCAGCACTGCAGCCTCCCACAGCTGTAGCGACCATCAGCAAATGTGGTGACTGTAACATAGTGTTTTACAAACACGAAAACTATCTCATCCACAGAGAACACTACTGTTCAGGGAAAAAGGCAAAATTTTCCTCTCCCCCAAAATCAGAGAGTTTGAGAAGCCCAAAGAGTAGTTCCGAGTCCGGTTCCCCAACACGCACGGAAATGTTGACTTCTAACACTGACCAACAGAAGGAAGCAGAGGCAGACATAGATTCATCTGAGGATATCTATTATCGCTTCTTTTGTGTCCCTTGCAAGATCAAGTTCAGCTCAGCAAGCACTCTGAAGGCTCACAAAGAGTTTTACTGCCCACATGGTAAGGATAGTGGTCACTCCATAGTCATTCAAGCTACTGAATCTAAGGAAGAATCTCCTACACCTAAAACACCAGTTACCCCAGAAATTGTGGACTTCCGATGTGATAGGTGCGAGAGTGTGTTCACGACATCGCGCCTCCTGAAGCTCCATCTGTGTAGTGGCGAGTCCACAACCATGCCGCTCTTTAGATGTCCACATTGTGACTACGTCACTCAGACTGATACCAGACTTTCAGACCATATGAAGGTACATGCGCCAACAAGGGCATTCAGGTGTACTGTATGTGGTTACCGTGGCAACACAGTTCGGGGGATGCGAATGCATGGAAAAAGTCATATTGACAATGGTGAAGAGTTCACCGACGATAGCATGATAGAGTATGAAGAACCAGCGCTGATGCCCATTCAGACAAATGGCCAGACCTCCCATGGCCCTGTGGACATGGAGGCTGAGCTGATTAGATTAAAGAATGAACCATACAAGAGACGCAGATCTCGTAAATCATTTGAAAAGACGGAATACATCCTCTCCCCTGGTTCACTCCAACAAACACAACACTGCCCGGTGTGTCGTGAGGCTTTCCCCAATCTGAAGTTCCTCAATGTCCATATGCGAATCCATGAGATGGCCCTGAAATACCAGCAGGACTTGCTCAAATGCCACAAGTGTTCATACTTGGCCAAGTCAAAAGAAGACCTTATATTTCACATGAAGGACATCCACACACCTCCACAGTCAAGCCCTAGTCCTACAAGCCTCAAGACATCTCCCACCCCCGAGCAAAGACCTCCAAGTCAGGAGAGGATAATACACATAAAACAGGAACCTATTGACCCTGGATTTGATGCTGCTTTTGAGAAAGATAAGGACAGAGAAAGGGATCTTTCCCCTTCCAGTCCAAATAAAGAGAATGTAAAGCGTGAAAACATTCAGGACAGATCCTACACCCCTAAGTCTGATGGTACGCAGAGTGTACGAGCATCTCCATTCTCTCGTGTGTCCCCCAACTCCCATCTCTCCCCGCTCAACCCTCCCGCATCACCCCCTATCAAATCTCAACCCAAATCGCCCATGGATGGAGCCTCCAACGGATCAGGGCACGATAGGCATTCTCCGGATATTTCCCGGAAGGACATGTCAAATGGCTCCGGACCACATTCCATTATGTTCCCTTCCGGGCCTGTGTTTCCATACTTCCTGATTCCACCCTCGAGTGTGGGAACATCAGTTGTCTCCCCTGAACCCACCTCACCAAAGACAGAAAAAGGTCCAAAGTATTGCAAGAATTGTGATATTAGTTTCACGTACCTGGCCACCTTCTTGGCCCACAAGAAGTATTACTGTACTGCAGCCAAGACAAGCGAGGAACTCAGTCCCTCTGCCAGTGCTTAGCTAGTCTACCAGGTTTGGTTACGAAAAGGAATGTGTAACTAATCTCTCAAGTGATTGGTTGAAATATTTGACTGTGTAACTAGTCATGCTGTGTGATTGGTCAAGCTTGAGCATGTCCCTACCTCTTTCACACCTAACAAATCAGAAAAGGAGGCATTGGTCAAGAAGCAAACATGAATTATTATATATATATTATTACTCAAACTTACCGTACATGGTATAATTAGCACTCTCCCCCACCCCATTTATTTATCACTGTTATTTATATCTTATCATTGCATACTTGCATACATTCTGATAAGAGTACCTTATATATTATTGAGTATAGCAATCCTGACCAAACACAATGATTCCAGTGAATCCTACCTTATGAACTGATGAGCTCTCAAGTCACCAGCTATGTCAAGGATGTCAAACTATGAAACATTGTACAATGAAACCCTGTCATTCTGGATCCTGTCAATCACTGTCAATTTGTCTGGATTAACAAATTTCTGGATTTTAGAATTGTGGTTACACTGTAATATTACATATAAGGTTTAATGAGGTTTCAGTGTATTATAAGAATGTCTCCCAATAAGTGCTCCTTTAGTTTCTGACATGGTTAGTCCAGGGTCCAGATTAACAAAGTGTCCCTGTATTGTAACACATTCTCCTTATAAGTGCTCCTTTAGTTTCTGACATGGTTAGTCAAGGGTCCAGATTAACGGGTGTAACTGTATTGTAAGAAATGCTCCCAATAAGTGCTTCTGACTTGCCCAGGGTGCTAATTACATCTGATATGGTTTATATTTGTGCTGTGTTTGCCTGTTATCCAGGGCCTTCTTGTTGTTACCCTGCTGTTGTATAACATGGTCTGATAGTGCTAATATACAGAACTTTTGTCGGTCTTTGATAGGTGTCTTTCTACTTGACCTATGCGCGTGCACACACACACACACACACACACACACACACACACACACACACACACACGCAATTCATATTGAATCTGCAATATGTATGTTACTTTTAGGTACTTACAGTTATGTGTGTATATGTAGTTGTTATTTCTTGATAACCTACTCTGTCAATTCCATGAATATGCATTGTAAATCGGTAATACATCCTAACTGCCATATCGCCTTGCAAATACTGTCAGGAACATTAACCTGGTAGCAATAACAAGACTTCTATTTCATATACATGTACCACATGGTTAATTCAGATCACAGACAGTGATACACTATAAGGTATTTGTTTGTATGTTTGGAAGAAAGATTTTGAAGTAGAACAAATTGAAATTAGTCTGAATGTGTCAGAACATTTGAAATATGACCAATAATTATTTTTCTTCTTCACATGTTGTAGGCCATAAATGCTGTTGGCTTCCTGACTGATATCACAGGAATCTGAAGTTCTGATTAAAATAAGGAAAAAAGGATCTTTTTACTATCAAACATTCCTCTCTCTATATATAAACATATACTGAATAAAAAAGGTTAGGGATCTTGAATATTTTGGGGAATATCTGTTTGTAGTTAAGACTGAGCACACAATTTTATTAAAGATAACCGCAAATATTCATGATCCCTAACTTTTTGGTTTAATATATTTATCTTCAAGTGGCAGTTAAAAAGCTGTAGTATCAATGACGATATCAAGCTGACTTGTGGATTTCAAATTTTGTATTCCTTCAATGGAACATGTCTACACAGATGATAGTACATTTACCAAGTTCATCACTTGATAAAGGTTCTAGCTAGCATTTGTACTGAAACTTCACATTATATAAAGAAGTGGAAATCTATTATATAAGTTAAGATATACCGTATTCGATGTAAGAAGCGCTCAGGGCGCTCTCAAAATAAGAAATAGGGGGCTCTTATTAGAATATTATTTTGGTTGAAAGATAGATTTCGTGGTTTATGCTGACAGAATGAAATGTTTATATATGACATATTTTTCATGAATTTAATTGCCCCTTATTAAGGGTGCATATAACAAACTCGTGTGTATTATACGCGAATAAATAAGTCTTGTGTACATTGATCAATCGGAAGGGGTGCTAATTGGGATTGTTCACTAGCCAATATATTAGCAAATATCGCCTTGGGCGCTTATTAGAGCGGGGCGCTTATTACGTCGAATACAGTATTTATGTAGAAAGAAGGAATGGGTAGTGAAGAGGCTTACAATTCTTTTATTTCAATTAAACTTGAGAATCCTGTTCTGCAATGATCTGTTCAGTACTATAATCTCAGCTTTGGAAATGTATAGATCTGACTACACCTTGAAATGTCCATACACTGCCACATTGAATATACACCTGTGTTTACACTGACAAGGAAACCCTGTAGATGTTATTGTCACCTTTATCAAAATATAGTCAATGGTTTCATTTCATTCAACAATTTTATATTTAATATGTTCAAAACAAAATCAGAAGATAGGTTTAGCTATTTTTTTCAATTCATTTGGTATATCATCTGGAGAAATTATGATTATTGATAAAAAATATTTGAAATTCTCTTTTTAGCCCAGAATGTTGACATGTAGCCATGCAGAATGTTAGGGTCGACATTTGATAGATATTATCATTATTATAGCGATAAACTACATAAAAACTAAATTTGAATATCTGAGATATATAAAAAATATATTGTTTTGTGATAGGGTATCTCGGTGTACAATACCACTACCGTATTTGCTGTATTTAGTGCCCTGCTCCCATATATGAAACCTGACCAATTCCTAGACCAAACTGTAAGTAATCTTTAAAAGTGCCCCTCCGTATTTTTGTGTGTATATTGCAGAAAGCTCGGAAGGGGTATTTTATTGTCTTGGAAGGCCACACATTGCTTTTTTGTTTTTGTTTCACGGGTCCGTCGCACTACTGAAAAGCAGCTGGATAAGAAATGAATTAAACATAAAAAGATTTATCATTATTATTATGTCTCCTGCTTGTAATTTAGACCCTCTTACACAATATAAAGTATTATATATAAATTCCATGTCTACACCATTCTCAGAAGCTAGCTGAAGTTTTAACTCTACTTCAGAATGACTTTCATATTTATAAATTAATAAATGATTGACACAGCTATTTATTTTTATTTCAACTGACCTTGTGTTGAAGAGCTGGAATAAATCCGAGAAACATGAAATTAAATAAGTGTGGCCTAACTATTATCAGAAAGTTTTAGTTTCACTGATGGTTGAACTAAGTTTATTCACTACTGCTCGATCTTTGAAAACTGCTTTAACTTTTTTTCAAGTGAACCCCTTTATCAATTTTCTAAGTGCCTAGGGCACTTAATCCGGTAAAATACGGTTTATGAAGTAATCATAAGAGTGAATCCTCAATTCTCCAATTTGCTGATTATTTACAGGCTGTCTCGGTGACAACATTTGATATGAGGATGTTGAAGGTAAACAGGCATCGCCTATAGCAAAATCAACACAGTGTAACGACACAGGGATGAGAAAACAAAGTTCTGCAAACATATGAAAAAGATAAAAGTCTAGTTACAGTGTTCAATATATTCACATCACTTCCATGATAAGCTACAAAATCATATCATAAAAATAATATTGACATAAAGTTTTTATTCAAATTCGAGATAAATAGTCTAAACAAATATACCATGGCTAAGAATGAGGTTTGAAATATCAGTACATTTGCAATAACCTTTTTGATGTGATACACTTCATGCATTTCAGTTTGTTGTATTGTAGTTGCGTATATTGACAATGTATAGCCTTGTCATAAAACTCCTTTATTTCAATATATTTCAGTGAATTCAAGTGTTGAAGATCTGCAATAGTTTAGGAACAGCAAATATTAGTGTTAATCAGTTGCTCTGACATCAACAATTACCTCCCTTTTAATGTTCAAAATTTGTACTGATTGTCTGACATCTACTCAGTATGGAAGAATTAAATGATTGCATATGTATCATGTATGAGTTTTCTAAAAATCATAATAATCCATCTTTGTAAATTATAACTTTTCAAATTGTAAATGTTTACCTTAAAATAGTATTACAGGTAGTATATGGCTATTTTTTCTAACGATTTGACAAACATATTAGCAGCTCTGTAGTGGTCTGTGTCTGTTGTAATGATCAAACTCATTATAGCTCCTAGTATTGATTACCCTATACCCAATGTTTCGGGTAAGCACACGAACACAAAACGATTGAATCAGTCATAGCCTCCTAAAAAACGCTGTACCGTGAATGTTTGCAATGCTTGTATTTTCAGGTACTTTGTTTACCAAAACCTGACTTCTTTAGGGACTGGGTGCCGTTGAACAAAGTGATCTTAGTGCTAAGGTGATCGTAACTCTTATACCTAAACATTGACTTACGATACTCTTTACTCTTACGGCACCTTGGTAATTTATTATAGAGGGTGGGGGGTCCTGAGATTGGCCTTAGGACTGTATCATATTTTGCTGCCCCCCTCCCCCTCCGAATGTTATACATATAACATTTTTCTTTTTCATCCCTGGTACAGCTGCCTCTGCCCAGGCTGCCCAGAGTGCTAATGTCACTGTCCTATCTTACTGTTGTGCCAAACATTGATGGGTGACTTCTATGTATACATGTTATCCACCAAGCTGCTGAGCTCCACCTTGTAAACCCTACTCTAGCCACATCAGAAGCAACTTCACGAAATCAATAAATGACTGCTGTAAGACTGTAAACATATCCGCATATATACCACAGGTAGATTAAACCAGACAATAGTCCATACTCACTCTGATGCCATCATGACCAGGATGTTTATAGGTTTTCCATGCAAACCATAGCAAAACGGTTACCATATTCGCCATCATAAGCACACTGCTCCAATAAGCACCCTTGACCAACTGCTAGATCAATCTGTAAGTAATATTTATAAGCGCCTAAATCCAAAGATTAAAATGACAGACCATATTTTGATGTGTATATTACAAATTCTTTTCATGAAAAAAATGCAGAAGGGGTTTAGATTGCCATGCAACTTTTATCAAAAATGTTTCAGTTTCATCGTTGTTTGCATTGAATTTGTACACTACCTCTCGATCTCAAAACAATTTTAACTTTAACTTAACTTTAAACAGTTTGGTTTTATGAGCCCCCATCCCTTGTCAGTTTTCTGGGCGATTATTATGGAGAATATGGTATTAAATGTGATTTGAAATCTACGACTGGGTAACTGGCAATTAAGAACATTCAGATTAATTCCACAATTATGTGCTATCAATACTGGTTGAAATACATCAATTTGTTAAGTTTGTATGAGGGCTACATATTTATGACCATGTTACTCATGGCTATATTACTGCTGACTGAACATTTAAGAAATCTGAGATTGTGGTTTCAAATTGGGGAAAAGGCAGAGCTTGATTGGAGTTGAATTTGTGGAGTCCAAGTGTCTATGTGTATGAAAGTGCTTTTGTATGTGTTTATATGTCTGTCTCTGGGTCCCTTAGTTCTTTCTGTGTACATTGTAAGTATAAGCCCAAGGCTGTACAATAGATTCCTAATTACCTCTTACAATAGTTATTATATCTTTGCAAATTATGAATCTGCACAACTTATGAAAATAAAAAAATCATGTTAATGATGTTATTTTGGTTATTCTATTTTACATGATGGCCAGGTGGACAGCGTGTTTGTTCAACATGAGCCAGGTTTGTTACTCTTGTGGCACTTGTCGAGGACATTCTGGTCTGTTTGATATGCAGAGTTGTGTCCCTTAGCCATTCCAGGATCCACTGGTCGCAGGTTTGAATCCCTCATTTGGCTCATTATGATCCTTATTCTTTTAGCACCTTAGGTTTATCATTTAATATCTGTGGAATGTCTTCCTCCCATAGCAGACATGCAGTTATTGATTTAAGTTTCCTTAAGTATCAAGTGATTGACATGAGCAATGGACAAGTGAAGATCTAGGTAGGCAATTGGTCTCCAGCAACCCATGCTTGCCGTAAAAGGCTACAATGCTTGTCGTAAGGGGCGACTAAAGGGATCGTGTGGTCAGACTCGCTGACTTGGTTGATGTATGTCATCGTTTCCTAATTGCGTAAATTGATGCTTATGATGTCAATCACTGGATTATCTGGTCCAGACTCAATTATTAACATATCGCCATCATACAGCTGGAATATTGCGGTACGGTGTTAAACAAAAAAAACAAAAACAAACAAACAAAGACATGAGCAATGATGATGTGCATCAAAGAAGTCAGCGAACCTGATCATCCTTTCCTGTTACTTGCAACAAGCATGGGATGCTGAAGACCAATTGTAACCTGGATCTTCATGGGGACTGAATTAATAGTAGCTGTTTATAGCTTCATGAATCCCATGCCTCTCACTCAATATGCAGGACAGTGTCTGTATGTAGTAGCTGTCCATGCTTCCATTGTGAGTGAGTGAAGAGAGCTAGTTAGGCGGTGCCACTTGTAGCAATACTCCAGCCATTACGCAGCCAAAGATTTTACTGTTGTGTTTAGTGTTCCGTTCTCAAGTGGATAGAGTGCCTGCCGGGAGAGTGGAAGGTTGGTGGATCAATCCCTGGCATTGTCATACCAAACTATGTTAAAAGATGGTACTCCTTACCCTGCCTGGGTTCCGGATTAAGAGGATAAAATAAGGACTGGTTGGCTCAGAGTCAGAACACTGTGTCTGAGTAGGGTATCCATGTTAATCTGCTGCTTGGCATCTCAGTGGACTTGCACTATAAAACGGATACTAGTCTGGGCTAGTATTAGCAGCCACAAACAAACACAACAGTACATGAACGTTGCTATATAAGAGCCTTAATCATTAATGTAGTAAACCCAATTTCACCTTACTTTATTAATCAATCAGTCAATAATCAATCAAGCTTTTAGTACAATGAGAAAATGTAACTTTTTATTACAATCAACTTGTTGACAAACTGCCAAA